GGGGGGGGGGGGCAGGGAAACGTTAGACTTCTTGTGCTCGAAATATATAATTTGTTTGTTTTGTTCTTGTGGTCTTCTTGTTGGGGCTACCCCATAGCTCCATGGTTCGCACTTCTCTAACTATCCTGCGAAGCCTGGATTACTGACCATTTCACCCTCACACTACCAGCCAACAAGCGCTACAAGGCGATAAAACACTCCCAATCCCAAAAGTATCCCCAACTCAGAGGCGGCGGGTGCATGTTGAGATGAAAAGCTTGTTGCTGCCCAGACCAACGAACAAGCATCAACATTTGCCTCCTCCTCTTGTTACGCGCCATGCATTTGTCTCTCTCCCTGTTCTTTCGCAGGCTGTAGGCCCCATGAAGGAGGGCGCAGGAGTTGAGCGGTCCAGCCCGAGGATGTCCATTCCACACGCGTTGTGGACTAGTGAGGATGAGGATTGGAGTATTGCCAGCAGCAGAGCCGCTTCCTGCGAGCCCAATGACGCCAAGTACCCAGTTGGTCCCCGCCTTCCAGCCTCTGCTCAACCGGCTGGCACTCTAAATTACTCTGCTGCCCGAAACTTTATATGCCATAGCCGATTGAAATCCATGGGGCTGTCACTGTTCGGCTGGCAGCTAGCAAGGCCCGCACTGGCTGACACCGATAAGTTACTTCCTAACCGGCCCGGTGATCTGTACGTCTTGCCCTGGCCTTGGCAAGATGCTGTTGACATTGCTGTCGTCCCCTTCTCCAGCCAACATAGCGTAACACGCCAGAGAAAACAACAGTGCAAAAGATCCTGCACAGAACGCGTGGCCACTTTGCCACTCACACATTATGTAAGACTCATGGCGCCGAAATTGGTTATCCGTCCCGTCATTTAAAGCGTTGACTTCTCGCTAGCCCGGTGTTGTCATGGCAGCCAGGGGCAGTTTCCAAGGTTGCGGACAAACCACCACATCGATGTCCCTTCCGTGGTGGAACATGGTATCGGATCACAACAAGTTCTGGGCTCATTGGAATTCTCTTGCGAACAGTTCTCCAGTTGCTTGCTCAATTACTCATCAGAAGTTGCTGTGTCAAGATAAAATGCGTTAATTCGCTTTGACTGGGGCTAGCACTGTTCCCTTCCACATTCCTATTGCCACCGATGATGTCCTGACTTCATGCTGCGAGGCCTTTCAGCAATACCCGTGTGCAACTACGCGGCCGACAGGGTCGCAAAAGTTATTCCTTCTGCTCTTACCAGGGTCGGCCAACATGCATGATTTGTGTTCATTGTCTTTAGTAACAGCAGCTGATAGCAACAATTTTAGGAATACACGCCAGCAGGGGCACGGCCATCTAAGGCGCACCTAGCGCACGCATCTAAGGCGCACACGTGCTCTGGCGCATCTAAGGCGCACACAAGGTCCCTCTTGGGCTGCGGGATTGCTGGCCTGGGGCTTAGGGTTTGGGGTTCTCACGGTTTAGGGTTCAGGGTGTAGCGGTTTCAGGGTTTTAGGGTTATTAGGGTTTATATAGGGTTCTGGGTTTAGGGCTTTCAGGTTTGTTAAAGGTTCCTAGAGTTCAAAGTGTTCAGGGTCCAGGATTTTTTTTACAACTCCTCGGACTTTTACGTCTGCCGCAGTGGCACGGGGTCTTGCTTTGGCCCTCAGTCGGCTTACTCCTCTCCCGTCTGCGTTGCTGCATCACAGGAGCGGCGCTTTGGAAAGCTCACATTGACAGTGATTGGTACCTCTTGCCCCTGGGCTTAGAGATTCGGTGGTAACAAAACAGCATGACCACCAACACTGAGCTGCACAGTAGACACATCACCAGAGCTACTACTTTGTACACACCCACTCGTTTCTTCAAGGTCGCCTTTCCCTACTCCAGGTTCATGAACGTCACCCTCAACAACCCTCCCAGTAGCGGCCGATGATGGCGATGCTGCCGATCCATCGCGCAATCTCTTCCGTGTTGGTGTAGACAGGGTTTGCGCCATCGTGGCATCCTCTTCCACTTGAGCTTGCCGCGCAGCGCGCCTATGCCGTTGAGCTTGGCAATCCACCTCCAACTCCTTCATCAACTCCTGTACCCAAACAGGACAACCCTCAGCTTGCACGGCGGCGTTCTCACCCTTTGTCTCTTGTTGGCTTTCGACTGGAACAACTTTGGGACATTGCAGTAGGGAACCCAAACGCCTTCGCCACTTTTCACCGAAGTTATCCGCACTCGCGGGGTCAGCTTCATCAATGGGTTTATCTTCAAAGGCAACCAACAGCGCCTGCAAAGACGCCAGTGCCTGACCATCTTTACAATCTGCTTGTAGATCCCTGACATGATTTTGTAGTTGACACACATGCCCTCCAGCATGCTTGCCCTTTTTTCAAGCCCTCAAGTTCGTCCTGGACAAAGTGGACCCATTCGACCATGGTTTGGACAATGTTAACCCCCACCTCACATTCTGCATGACATTTTCCTGTGGTACTAGCCGTTCCTCCACGTCACCTCCCACGGCCTGGTTAAGGGGTTGCTCTGCCACCTCCCCATCCAATGTGTGGCATTGCTACTCCTCTTCCCGTCACAATTTGGTTCCACATCGCTGTCCGATCTGATCACCATTGCTTCAGCACCAGCAACGTAATTTGCAGGTTCCACATCTGCCTCATTTTCTTCCGAACGATCCCTGAGCGCGAGGGCCCGACTGCGAAGATTAGCCACCGCCGATCTGCTCCTGTTTCTGGCCTTCGCCCAAAACTGCCCAAAAACTTCTTTGCTATTTCGATCACGTCGATCACCATGTCCTTCGCCTTGGCCGGGCTGCGTCATCTGACTCTGTCCAGCTTGTTCCCCAGGTCCGTCCTCAGTGCTGTGAGCGCTGCCTGCGAGATGTCTCCTGGTTGCCTTACAACTGCCTGCATAAGGCAATGTCTCCCTCTCCATGTTCATCAGCACGGTTGCGTCGGCTGCGTCCAGCGCGGCAACGGGCTCATAGATGGCAGGCCTTCCTTCCTCTGAAGGGGGGCCCTCCAAGATGAGACGTTCCGCCAGGTAGGCCTCCATGACATTGCCCAAGTCCATCATCATTGCGCCGATCGCTCGGAGCATGCCTGCAACAATTGCCACAACTCCCCTGGACCCTCGAGCCCTCTCCATCGTCATCACCTTCTGCATCTGGACGAGGACGTTTGCATGACGCCGGGCTGTTGGACTGCATCAGGACCACCGTCTGCGATATCATAGTATTGTTTAGCATCAGGGGTCATCGCCCACAATTGGACCCCAGACATTTCTTCATTTTCTCGCCCTCGATCTTCATCTCGTCCCACGTCCCTTCTTGCCCTTGCTCTCTGCAACGCCTGATCTACCGTGATGGCAATATCCAACCCTCAAGCTGCGAGGTAACCATGCATGGCTAATGCCATCTGCGCGACCCCATCCACACCCGTGTTGTCCAGGGCTGTTATCTCTAATGTGTTCCGGGCACACATGTGTTTCTCCTGTGTGACCTGCACAGGTTGAAGTTGAAGTGCGGCGTCAGCGTGTTCGCCCCCATGTTTCAGAAGGTCACTCCACAGGATTGAAGCTTCCACCAGGCGCATTACGCCACGGCCGGCGCTCGTTACCTCCACATGCCCTCGACCTCTCCACTCCCCTCGACGGCCTTGTCATTCAGCCCTGCTCTTTTTTGGGGGGTGGTCCAAGATAAGGGGCTTCTACTCCTCGTTGACCACATGTAATCCCTGCCACTTCTCCATTCATGACCCTC